CTTGGTATGACGAATCTCGTCATGATGTTTTTCCATACAAAACGCTTAACATTGGTATCTCGAATACGTGTTAGTGCCTCCGCTTCGACCTATTTTGTGAAATAATCCGTCACGACAATTAAGAATCGCTTGTTTCTTGGAGCCCGTGGCAATGGTCCAATGATATGAAGCCCCTATTGAGCGAACGACCAAGGACTAGTGATAGAGTTTAACTCCTCGGCAGACAGATGAGTTAAGGGGGAAAACTTCTGGCATTACTCACATTTCTTGACATAACACTCGGCATCGGTTTGCATGGTCAGCCAATAGTACCCCTGTGTTACAGCTCGATGGGCTAGAGAACGTCCATCCGAATGGGCACCACAACTACCTTCATGTATTTCAGACAAGAGTTCCTCGAATTTATCCGGGTGAACACATTCTAAGTACAGCCTAGAGAGAGATTTTTTGTAGAGCTTCCCTTGCGGATCCAAGTGGTATCGGAGGGCTTTATTTCGCAATTTGTGTGCCTTTTTCTTATCTATCGAGAGCTGCTCTGAGGATAGGAATGCAGCGATGGGGTCCATCCAACTTGGACCCGATTCAATAACGTTGATCTGAACTGATTCTGAAGAGGCAATGCTTGGCTTAGGGACGAACCCTACTTTGATTGTCTGCTTAATTTCTGAGTTGATGGCAGAGGCTAGGCAAGCCAGGGCATCTGCATGCGTGTTCTGATCTCGGGTTATTTGATTCAGTTCGTGGTGATCAAATTTCGCGAACAAAGAATTTACCGTTTGCATATAGGCTGTCATGCGGTCATTTTTGGCTGCATATTCTCGTTTCAATTGGTTAATTACTAGCTTTAAGTCACAAAAAACAAGCAAACGCCGCGCACCGAGGTGAAGTGCATTCCATAGGCCGGTTAACAATGCTTTGTATTCGGCTTCATTGTTTGATGTGTCGAAGCCCAGTTTGATAGCCTGTTCTATTATCGCCCCTTTAGGGGTCATGATTACTGTGCCAGCCCCACTGCCACGTTGGTTGGATGACCCGTCACAATACATCTGCCAAACGTCTCCAACATACATTCTGGGCTCCGAATTCGGAGGCTTTTCTTTTTTGTTGGCCAATCGTGATATCCACGAAGGGCCCTCCAAATTCGGAGGCTTATTCGGCCCAAACGTGTCATTCACAGATGGGGCTCCAAATTCAGAGGCTTTTATTTTTTTGTTGGCCAATCGTGATATCTACGAAGGGCGCTCCGAATTCGGAGGCTTATTGTTACAACATAACTCACAAGATAAGAAAGAAAAGGCATTACATTGGAAAAATGAAAGATGTACACGGCGAAAATTCAAAACAAATTGTCATGACGTACAAGCTTGCTTAATGATAAAATTTGCGCAAGTGTGTGAAATTCTAGGGATGCGACAAACTTCTCTCATTCATATCCTTGAGCCGATATGCCCCTATTCCTGTGATTGAGTCAATCTGATAGGGGCCGTCCCAGTTAGGACGTAACTTTCCGTCAACGGGATTCCTAGCAGCGGGAAACACTTTCTTAGGGATCAATTCTCCTGGTGTATAACGACGTAGTTATACATGTTGATTATACGATTTAGTGAGCTGTTGCTAGTACCGTGCCATAGAAGCAAGGGCACGGTCTCGGCGTTCTTCAATCAAAGTCAAGTCTAAGGCCAACATCATGTCATTTCGGCCCATGTCAAAAACCCTCGATTTCAAAGTTGGAAGGCCGATCTCTAGGGGGATGATTGCCTGGGTTCCCAAGCATAGAGCAAACAGCGTTTCCCTAGTGGATCGCCTTGGAGTAGTGCGATGAGCCCATAGCACACTGGGTAGCTCTTCGACTCATCTGCCCTGAGCTTTCTCCAGCCTTTTCTTGATGCCATCTAGAATGACTTTGTTGGTGGCCTCTACTTGACCATTGCTTTGTAGGTAAGCCGGCGAGGAAAAGTAGGGCCAAATACCATATGTGTTGCACAATTCTCGATACATGCCACAATCAAGTTGGGTACCGTTGTCTGAGACAAGCGTTCTTGGTATGACGAATCTCGTCATGATGTTTTTCCATACAAAACGCTTAACATCGGTATCTTGAATACGTGTTAGTGCCTCCGTTTCGACCTATTTTGTGAAATAATCCGTCACGACAATTAAGAATCACTTGTTTCTTGGAGCCCGTGGTAATGGTCCGACGATATTAAGCCCCCATTGAGCGAACGGTCAAGGACTAGTGATAGAGTTTAACTCCTCGGCAGACATATGAGTTAAGGGGGAAAACTTCTGGTATTACTCACATTTCTTGACATAACACTCGGCATCGGTTTGCATGGTCAACCAATAGTACCCCTGCGTTACAGCTCGATGGGCTAGAGAACGTCCGCCCGAATGGGCACCACGACTACCTTTATGTATTTTAGACAAGAGTTCCTCGAATTTATCCGGGTGAACACATTCTAAGTACAGCCCAGAGAGAGATTTTTTGTAGAGCTTTCCCTGCGGATCCAAGTAGTATCGGAGGGCTTTATTTCGTAATTTGTGTGCCTTTTTCTTATCTATCGAGAGTTGCTCTGAGGATAGGAATGCATCGATGGGGTCTATCCAACTTGGACCCGATTCAATAACGTTGATCTGAATTAATTCTGAAGAGGCAATGCTTGGCTTAGGGACGAACCCTACTTCGATTGTCTACTTAATTTTTGAGTTGATGGCAGAGGCTAGGCAAGCCAGGGCATCTGCATGCGTGTTCTGATCTCGGGTTATTTGATTCAGTTCGTGGTGATCAAATTTCGCGAGCAAAGAATTTACCGTTTGCATATAGGCTGTAATGCGGTCATTTTTGACTGCATATTCCCGTTTCAATTGGTTGATTACTAGCTTTAAGTCACAAAAAACAAGCAAACGCTGCGCACCGAGGTGAAGTGCATTCCATAGGCCGGTTAACAATGCTTTGTATTCGGCTTCATTGTTTGATGTGTCGAAGCCCAGTTTGATAGCCTGTTCTATTATCGCCCCTTTAGGGTCATGATTACTGTGCCAGCCCCACTGCCATGTTGGTTGGATGACCTGTCACAATACATCTGCCAAACGTCTCCAACATACATTCTCCAGTTGGGCTTAGGTTGCACTTGATCAGACTTAAAGTCGGCGAGGGATCCTGTGAATTCGGCTACAAAGTCGGCGAGCACTTACCCCTTAATAGAAGTTCTGGGTAGAAACTGGATATCATATTGGCCGAGTTCGAGAGCCCATTTTGAAACGCGCCCCAATGCTTCCGCGCTGCGGAGCGCTGACCGGAGGGGATAGTCCGTTAGTACCCTGTGTACCCCTGAAAGTAATGCATCAGTTTTCTTGCAGCCATGATGAGAGCAAGGATAAGCTTTTCCAATGGAAGGTAACGTGTTTTGGCGTTAGCCATTGCTTTGCTCACATAGTAAACTGGTCGCTGCTCACCAAGTTCTTCCTTTAACAATATGGCACTGACCGCCCAGTCGGATATCGCCAGATACAAAATGAGCAGATCGCCTGCCGCAGGTGTTGCCAAGAGCGGTATTGATCAGAGATAAGACCTCAAGCCATCCAAAGAGGCCTAGTACTCAGGGGTCCATTCAAATGCTCTGCCTTGCCGAAGTGTGTAAAAGAATTGTTGGCAGCGATCTATGGAGCTGCTAATAAACCTATTGAGTGTGGCGGCCATTCTTATCAGCTTCTGAACCTCTTTGATTGACTGAGGGGATCTAAGCTTTAGAATTGCCGTTATTTGCCTTAGGTTGGCTTCGATTCCGCGGTGGTTAATGATGTAGCCAAGGAATTTTCTGGATCCTATGCCGAATACACACTTTGAGGCATTCAATTTCATCTTGTACTTTCGAAGGATGTCCAATGTCTTTGCTAGATTGGCTAGATGAGCGTACTTTTCCTTGGATTTGACCACCATATCGTTAATGTATACTTTCATGGTATGGCCGAGTTGTTCCCTGAACATGGCAGTCACTAGTCTTTGGTAAGTTGCCCCCGGATTCTTCAGCCTAAAAGGCATGACCTTGTAGCAATAGGTTCCTTTTGGGGTGAGGAATGCAGTTTTTTCTTGGTCCTCCAGATGCGGGGTGAGGAATGCGATTTTTTCTTGGTCCTCCGGATGCATGGCGATTTGATGGTAGCCTCTGTAGGCATCCAAGAGCTCATGCCTTGTTTAAGTCCGTAAAGTCCCCACAAACCGGGCAAGAGCCATTCTTCTTATTTACAACCACAGTATTGGACAACCATGTGGGATAGGTTACTTCACAAATTGCCCCCGTATCAAGTAACCGATCAACTTCTTCAACAATAGTCGAAGTTTGCTTCTCGGCTGACCGCCGACTTCTCTAAATAATTGGCTTACATTTCGGATCAACGTTTAAGTGGTGCTAGGCCACAGACGGATCCACTCCTGGCATCTCGTATGGTGACCATGCAAACACATCGATATTTCCAAGTAAGAAGGATACTAACTCTTGCCTTTCAACTTTATCTAGGGAAATGCCGATCATGAAGAACTTGTCAAGATTCTCATCAATTTCGACACGTTCCAGGGCTTCGATTGCCTTTCCACTTGGGATCTTCCCAATGTCTTCGAGGCTCTCCCTATCTGGTACCTCAATTGAATGCACTTCTAGCTCCTTGGTCTCTTTGCAGCAAGAAGATAACATACCTGTGCCGATTTCTGAGAACCGCAGATTTGTTCGATATTGTACTCAGTGGGAAACGAAGTAATTGATGGTAGGTGCTTGGCACGACTTGCATTGTATGCAACCAAGTTCTTTCCATGATGAAATTATACGGCGAAGGAAGCTTGACAATCAGAAATTCTACGTCTACTAATCTGGTGCCCGTCCGAACTGGTAGTGTGATTTTGCCCAAAGGATACTCCGAGTTAGCATTGAAGCCGAATAATGGGTAATCAGCCTGAGAAAGATCTGAATCGGTGAAGCCAAGTTTGACAAAAGTTTTGTAATACATTATTTTCCGAAAGTGCTGCCCTGGTCAATGAGAACACGCTCAATAGTGAATCTGTTTATGCGTAGCTTGATGACGAGGGGATCAGTATGGAGGTGAGTTACTCCAACCAAGTCAGTGTCATCGAAACTAATCCTCCCAGTTTCATGGGGCCGTTTCGCTGGCGTGATTGGTCTGTGGTGGCTAGAATGCAACTGAATTGTACGCATCTCCGATGACGTCGACAAGCTGTATATCACAAGAATTACACCAAGTGGAGGTGAATCTAGCTGTAGAGCCATTGTGTTTAATGAATTGTTCTTTCGGATGTGTTGCGTAAGCCGACCGTCTTGCACTAACTCCTCTAGGTGATCTTTTAGTGCATAACAACTATTAGTGTCGTGATCGTGGTCTTTATGATACTCACACCGTTTATCTCGTCTCCTTGTATCGAGAGGTCCAATCATCTTAGGCGGCCACTTGAAGAACGGAAGGTGTTAAACTTTCGACAGGATCTTACTGATCGGCTCTGTTAACTCCGTGTATTTCTTGTCTAAGCATCTTATGCGCCTGCTATCCACTTGATATTGTTTATTAGCTCGATGTGAACATTGATCATTTGATCGGCGAGTCACGCCTTTTGTCTCGTTTAGCCTGATTCCGCGGCTCTAGGCTTCTTGACTGTACGGCGTTAATCGACTGAACGATTCTCAGAGGGGCCGTCTCAATGGGTTTATGCCCGGCTTTGACTCGCAAGGTATCGTTTTCCACTTTGCAATACTCTTCGACCTTCTTCATTAACGCCCAGACTGTTTTGGGGGGCCGTCTAGTTAATAAACTGCGGAGGGGACTATCATGATGCAATCCTATCTTAAAGGCAATGATGGCCATGGAGCCATTGCAAGCATCATCCACCAGATTAAAGCATTTCCAATAGCGTGCCGAATATTCACGAAGGGTTTCACCTGGTTTAATTTGCATCACCCAGAGGGAATCGGCATGCTTTGGCTAGATCTCATTAGTGATGAATCTAGCCCTAAAGGACTTCTAGAGCTGATGGAAGCTTTTAATCGACGCCGGCTCCAGTTTATAATACCACCTGATGGCCAGCGGTCCCAGACTGCTTGGAAATATTCGACACACGAGGGCTTCGTCGTCAGCATGAAGTGTCATTGCTTGCTTATAATGGCGAATGTGATCGATAAGGTCTGATTTTCTGTCGTAGAGGGCGAACGATGATGCTTTGAACTTTTTGGATAGTACAGCCCTTGCAATTCGTCGCACAAAGGGGTCATGCTTATCTTCCTTATTCGAGTCATCCCTCCTCATTCGTTTATGTCGTACATACGGACTTCCTTCAGATGAGCTGGATACATCAACTCGTCCTTTCTTTCTGGGCTCCGGGGATGGTGAGAAAGAATCACTGTCATTATTGCGTTTCTGAAGTTGATGTCATCGACCATCCTTCTTTCCCGAAGGTCGACCCCGATCTTGGCACGCGGCTTGTTGGGATTTCGCCACCTCTAAGGCCAAATCCTGGCGCAAGTGCTTGTTCTCAGCCATTATGTTCTCCAGCCACTGTTCGTTTTGCTTTGCTTGATCCATAATCGTCTGCATTTGTTTCATGCATTGAAGTTGGGGGTGAGGTCTGAGCCACTGAATTGAAGTTCAAGGCTCGTCGTGCGGCGATATTCTCCGATCCAAGTATGTTTCGTGGAGTGAAGTCGTCTTTTGGCGTAGTTTCGTCAACGATTATCGGAGGATCTTCTGTGACGCCCACCATGGATATGCCTGAGTATTCCCACAGACGGCACAATTTGTGGAGAAGTGGTTTAGAAATACTCTTGGATCCTGAAGGACGCTCCTGATCCTCTGATTTTCACCTGAAAAAGGGATTAACACTCCGGCCGGGGGTGCCGGAATTAGCACTCCGATAGACAAGTTATTATATGTCTCTTGTTTGCTTGTGTCTTAAGTTTCTTTAGTTTGTTCTCACATACCTCTCTTTAGTTGATGCTCCTCTCCTTTATACTTGTCCCTAGTCTCGGGGGTCGGGCCAACTTTTAATCCAGTGCATAGCTACTCACTCGGCCATTTTGTTGTGTGCTTATTCACATTCGGCTTCTTGTACGTCTGATTCTATGGCCGATTTAACTATTCGGCTTCTGGGTCCCCCAAGGCGGAGCCGAATAGTATATATCCAGATTTTCTTCAGATTCATTTGGTTTTTTTACATATGCCATTATTCGGCTCCCACAACTACCTTTCCAAATAGTTTTGATGTCAAAAAAGTTAACTTTTAACTTTTTTAGCAAGTTACAAAACGCAACTTTTTACTTGGTTCCTAAATCAACCTTTTACGGGGACTTTACTAGTTAGACTTATTGTCTAATTGATTTTATGATAATTAATAATATTTTTATCAAAAATTATGAAAAATATCATTAATTGTTAATTTTTATTGATAATTTAAAAATCTTGTCATAAAAAATGTCACTAATTATAAGTTTTAGCGACAGTTTAAAAAAATCATCACAAAAAAAGTCACTAATTTATAATTTTTAATAACAATTTGAAAAATTCGTTATAGAAAAAGTCACTATTTGTAAGTTATAGTGACAATTTATAAAATTCGTGACAAAAAAAATCACTAATTGTCAATTTTTAGCGACGTATGTAAAAATCGTCATAAAAAATTATTTTTAGCGACGATTTTATTATGACTTATTTTCAATAGGATTTAAGAGAAATTAAATCCAACTATTAGGATCTATTGTTAGTTTACCTTTTTTTTATTACAATTTTATCTTCCAATCAAATTATATTTTGGACAAAATTTTAAACCCTAATTTCTCATTATTCACTTACAAGTTACACCCCACCCCATCATTACCCATCGCTGTAATTGTAGCCACCTCTATACCTTTAGTTCCGGCGTCGCCCATTCGTATTCCTATCTGACATCACCTTTTCCCTTCCAGCCCCTTCACGTCTCCCTTCATCTTCCCCATTCTTCTTCCTCGTTCTTGAAACCCTATATCGATCAATAATCGATCTCGTATGCTGGCAAGTTTGGCAGTTGTACATTGCGGTGGAGGTTAAGGGCCATATTTTTGATTGGAAATGCGGGTTGTGGTGGCTAAACTAGTGACGGTGGCAGGACTTGGAGAATAAAGGAGTTTGGGATGGAGAAGAAGAAGAAGAAGAATGAGAAAAATGAAGCAGATGTGGAAAGGATGAGACAGAAGCACAAGGAAGACGGGTAATAGAAGGAGGAAGAGGCAAGACAGTGGGCGACGACATGAGAGGATGACTAGGTAAGGGGGTGGCCGGCGGTTGTAGTGGCGATAGTTAGGGTTAAGGTTAGGGTTAGGGTTTGATAAAGAAGATAAGGGTAATTTGATATTATTTGAAAATTAGTGGTGTTTATTGAGACAAAATCAAAATATTCAATTTGTGTGAGTTGTGACCTAAACAAATTGTGTGAACTGAGGCAATCACTCGTGTATAAATAGAATTTCACTTGTCTTTTCTAGAAAAAAAAAATACAAATATACTCTCGAGAGTTACTTACAAAATTAATTATATTCTGTAATTCTGAAAATTACATCTTGTCTTTTAAAATTTTTAATCATATAACAAATGGTTATTTTTATTGATAAATTATTAAGTTAATTAATAATTTTTTTGGTGTTATAAATATGTTTCAATTAATAATTCTGATAATTTTATTGTTGCATAGGAGAGTAGTTATGAATTTTATTTTTTCTATTAATTTTCTTAAATAAAACATTTTAACAATGAGATATTTGTAATTTCTAAAATTACATGAAACAATTTATATGTTAATCAAAACTTAAGAAGTTTATTTGTACCTCCCCCGGGAAAAGAAAAAAAGGAAAAAAAAAAGGAAGTGTGTCTACATCCAAACACAATCTATTAATGAATTTAGGTGTTATAGTTTAAATAAACTGTTTATCATTTATTTATTTAGAGATTATGCATTAGACCCTTTTGCGTAATATAAATAGTAAAAAATAATTTAATAAGCTAAAAGAAATTAATTATTTAAAAAATTGATAATTAAAAAAGTCTTCCTTGTTTTAATAATTAATTTTTTTTTTTCAATATTAACTTCGTAAGTTAGAAGAAAGAAATTATATTAAACATTCAAATATAAATTTTTAAATTTTAAAAAAACGGGGTCATAATTAGCTTTTATAAAAGTTGCACCAAACAGGTGTTATGTGTCCTTCAAGGCTAGACCTATACATAAATTTTTCTTTCAGACTATATTTGTTTAGAAAGAAACAGATAATAAAAAATAAAAGTAGTAGAAACTAAACTGAAAAAAATGAGAAAAAAAAATTATTTTCTTCTATGCATTTGAATAGATGAAATTTTTTTGTAAGAAAAGAATGAAAAAAAATATATAATCACTGCATAATGGGGAGTTGTAAAGAGAGACGTGTAAAAAGGAAAATAAAATAAACCTTATCAAGATTTGTGAGTAAAAATAAATTTCTCTGGATATTTTGCAAGAAATTGTTAGCCTAACTAACAAACTAATTTGAGTTGTACAACAAACAAACTTTAGTTTCTGTTATTTTCTTCTATGCATTTGAATAGATGAAATTTTTTGTAAGAAAATAATGGAAAAAAATATATAATCATTGCATAATAGGGAGTTGTAAAGAGAGACATGTGTAAAAAGGAAAATAAAATAAACCTTATCAAGATTTGTGAGTAAAAATAAATTTCTCTAGATATTTTGCAAGAAATTGTTAGCCTAACTAACAAACTAATTTGAGTTGTACAACAAACAAACTTTAGCCTGCGTTTGATTGTATTTTGTAAATGTGATTTGAGAGTATGAGTTATATTTTGAGTTTGTGTGTTGTAGAATTATGATTTGAGTGTAGAAAATTTGTTTGGTAAAGAGTTTTGAAAATAGTTTTGGAAAAGAGGTTTGATTTGAGTGGGGAATTGTTGATGTGACATTTGATATGTGATATAAAAATTTACAACTCATAACTAAACATACAACTCAAAATTATTTTAAAGCATATAAAAAATTTAAAAATTTTTAGAAAATATTTTTCCCGATTATATAAATTAATTGCAAAAAAAAAAAAAAATTCACTGTTTCGGACAGCCGGCCGGATGTCCCGTTCCCTCAAATGCCCCCTCTGCAACAAACAGAATGCTTTGACATATAGACAGAGCTTCCGGCAGAGTTTTGGAAAATTAATTCCAAAACTCTTACCAAACATCATGCTCAAACTCAAGTGTTGAAAACTATTTTCAAAGCACAAACAAACATAGCCTTAGTTTCTATTATTATCTAAGACTCTCTATCCAAACAAACACAAAAAATTATTATTATTTTTTTTTCTTTCACTTTCTTGTATTATCTATTTAACCAAACTGAGTCTAAGAAAAAATCTAGGATCCTAGAAAATGAAAC